GGTAGGAAAAAAAAAGTAACTACTGTAAATAGCTCAGAGCACTCTCCATACAAAGGCCTAGTCTCCAGGGGAAGGGCTTTACCAGAGCCTTATCCCTCTTGGGGAAAGGGCATTTCTCCCACTCCCAGCCCCCTTTAGCTTTCTTGTCTTACCTAAAAGGATGAGAAGATAGAAAACACTTGTGAAGGTCTTAGCCCAGTGTCACAGACCCACTGACATAATCATAAAAGTATAGAGTGCTTCTTCCTTTTCCAAACCTTTCTACCAAACCAAGAGGGCTTCAGTATAACAGTAGATTACAGGCGAAACAGCCAACAGATACAATTTCTCCCTGAAAAATATTTAAGGATGCCTAAAATCAATAGAGGAGACAAAAACAAGGACACTACAGAAAGTTGAAGCCACTGACAATGACAGATAAACATTAAATAGCTAAACCCATAGCCAGATTAACATAAAACCTCACACTAAAGTCTTTTTAACTTAATTCCTATTATCCAGTATATCATCTCTGACTTTCAACAAAAAAATTCCAAGGCACACTGAAATATGGGAAAAGACAGTCTGAAGAGACAAAACAAGCACCAGAATCAGACTCAGACAAGACACAAATGCTGGAATTTAAAATAACTATGATGAATATTTTAAAGGATCTAATGGAAAAAGTAGACCATATGCAAACCTAGATGGGTAATGTAAGCAAAGAGTGAAAAGTCTCAAAGGAATCAATATGAAATACTAGGAATTGGAAACACTGTATTCTCCTGCGCTCCTTGCCCAGACCATTGGTTCCTGAAAGCACAGATGGTTCTTTAGATTTGCCTAAAACACAAAGCACTAGCCTTGGAAAAGGGTTTCAACGAATGTGCCAAAACACTACTTGTTGATGATGAAAAACAACATGTGTTTAGATTTGAGGAATTTTCAGTTGGCACATTTCATTGTGTGGGAGCTCAAATAGGAAAATAAAACCATGCTACTTTAAAACTATAGTTGGGTCTACATTTTAAAGAAGACAAAAGACAGATTGATTTCCTATTTGTTTGTTTGTTTGTTTGTTTTAGAAAGCCCTGTGCTTAGTCCCTAAGCCCTAGCCTAGTCTGGAAGCTGAATGGTGAGAAAAAGGGAGGAGACCACTAAATGTGGTGGTTCATGCTCTGCATAGTAAATGCAAAGCACCACCTTTTCATGGGCAGAGGGTAGTTCAACGAGTTTTGTGACTCTTAGGANGGAGTAGCTGCATTAATTTCAGACAAAGCCAACTTTAGAACAAATAAAACCATCAGGTTTTATTTTTTATATTAGTATATAATAATAAAAGTGTCAATTCTCTAAGAAAACATACAATCCTAAGTGTGTATGCTCCTAACAGGAGAACATTAAAATATGTGAGGCAAAAACTGGTGGAACTCAAAGGAGAAACAGAATACATGGAGTTAGTTCATTGCATGGGGTTTTTCTTAGTTTACTTCTGATCAATCAGATGCTTCAGAAAGCAAATGAACTGCTTATAAAGAAGCAATGGCTGTGTATGGGGAGAGGAGCAGTGGATGCTAAATGACCCCCAGTGTGACCATGTTGGAGTTGGGGAAGACAGGCAATGGGTGTCATTAACAGGTCCATGTAGAGCAGGGCACCCTGTACTGGAGCTCCTGTGCTCAGTTTAAGCAGGAGAGTCTTGAGGCAGTGGTATCTGCCATCCTTCTTGTGGCCAAGTTTGTAGCAGCCGGGAAGCATGTGCAGGGTGAGGGCAACAAGAGGAGATGAGAACAGCTTCTCTCCTGTGCTCCTTGCCCAGACCATTGGTTCCTGAAAGCACAGAAGGTTCTTTAGATTTTCCTAAAACATAAAGCACTAGCCTTGGAAAGGGGTTTCAACGAATGTGCCAAAACACTACTTGTTGATGATGAAAAACAACATGTGTTTAGATTTGAGGAATTTTCAGTTGGCACATTTCATTGTGTGGGAGCTCAAATAGGAAAATAAAACCATGCTACTTTAAAACTATAGTTGGGTCGACATTTTAAAGAAGACAAAAGACAGATTGATTTCCTATTTGTTTGTTTGCTTGTTTGTTTTAGAAGGCCCTGTGCTAAGTCCCTAAGCCCTAGCCTAGTCTGGAAGCTGAATGGTGAGAAAAAAGGAGGAGAACACTAAATGTGGTGGTTCATGCTCTGCACAGTACATGCAAAGCACCACCTTTTCATGGGCAGAGGGTAGTTCAACGAGTTTTGTGACTCTTAGGAAACTATCTCTTCTTATACTACACAGGCAGGGCCTGTTTAAATGGTAGACCTACAAATAAGCCTATTTCATGAGAATAGTAAGCCCTCTCTTCTCAAACTTTAATATGCATAGAAATTACCTGGAGGCTTTGTCCAGATGCAGATGTCAGTACAGTAGTTCTAGGCATTGCCTAAAATTCTGCATTTCTAACAAGCTTCCAGGTGATGTCACAGCCCTGTACCACAGGCCACGCTCGGCCATAAACAAACTCAGAAGAAGTCCTGGCAGGGCCGGCCCAGTGGCGCACTGCTACAGTGCACCACTTGGGAGCGCGGCGGCGCTTCCGCCAAGGGTTCGGATCCCACATACAGACTGGCCGCTCACTGGCTGAGCGAGGTGCGGGCGATGTCAGTACAGTAGTTCTAGGCATTGCCTAAAATTCTGCATTTCTAACAAGCTTCCAGGTGATGTCACAGCCCTGTACCACAGGCCACGCTTGGCCATAAACAAACTCAGAAGAAGTCCTGGCAGATTAGACTCCAGTATGCAAGTCACACAAGTTCTCCTGATGCCAGTTCACTCAACAGCTAGAAGGAACCCAGGCCTAGGCCGTCCATGGCCTGAGTGAAAGGTTCTGCTCAGAAGTCTTGAGTATTTAAGCTGAAAGTGGCAACAGAGTTCTAGTTTAATCCCTTAGTTTTACAGATGGGGATACAAAGCTCCCAAGGGGTCCAATCATTTGCCCATCAGTACAAAACTATGTAAGTGTATGGTCAGAATCTAATAGTAGTTTCCTGACTGGTGCCCTTTATTTGTCTCACGTAAGACAGGAAATCAGCCTACAACTGAAGATAGGGGGACAGGAGACAGTGTGAACAGCGTCTTCCTGAATACAGGAAGATTCAGAAAAGGTGGGACAGGAAAGAAAGAAGGAATAAAAATTCCAATGCAGGTTCAATGAATGAATCTATGGAAGACCATATACAATAAAATGAAGTGTAAAAATAGTCATTTCAATATTGATCAACAGTTATTTTAGGGGATCAAATAGGTTTGTTTACACTAGGACAGGGTATGTGAGACATATGTGTCACAACAGGTCATGGGGAGCTCCTTTCTTCCTCATGGAGTGAGAGATCCAGGTTCAGTTCTCAGGAAAAGCAGCCATTAAACCCACCCTCTTCCTTTATTACCCTAGATCAGAGCCTGTCTTATAGCCTCGGGGGTTCAGCCTAGGACTAAGGATTCCATTATTGCTTTCTTACTAAGATGATTCATGATTAAGGAGAAACCTGTTTCCAACAGGTAAAACTCAACCCAAGTCTCTCAGGCAGTTGAAGGAAAGGCGTGTAGNTTTGTCCAGATGCAGATGTCAGTACAGTAGTTCTAGGCATTGCCTAAAATTCTGCATTTCTAACAAGCTTCCAGGTGATGTCACAGCCCTGTACCACAGGCCACGCTTGGCCATAAACAAACTCAGAAGAAGTCCTGGCAGATTAGACTCCACTATGCAAGTCACACAAGTTCTCCTGATGCCAGTTCACTCAACAGCTAGAAGGAACCCAGGCCTAGGCCGTCCATGGCCTGAGTGAAAGGTTCTGCTCAGAAGTCTTGAGTATTTAAGCTGAAAGTGGCAACAGAGTTCTAGTTTAATCCCTTAGTTTTACAGATGGGGATACAAAGCTCCCAATGGGTCCAATCATTTGCCCATCAGTACAAAACTATGTAAGTGTATGGTCAGAATCTAATAGTAGTTTTCTGACTGGTGCCCTTTATTTGTCTCACGTAAGACAGGAAATCAGCCTACAACTGAAGATATGGGGACAGGAGACAGTGTGAACAGCGTCTTCCTGAATACAGGAAGATTCAGAAAAGGTGGGACAGGAAAGAAAGAAGGAATAAAAAATCCAATGCAGGTTCAATGAATGAATCTATGGAAGACCATATACAATAAAATGAAGTGTAAAAATAGTCATTTCAATATTGATCAACAGTTATTTTAGGGGATCAAATAGGTTTGTTTACACTAGGACAGGGTATGTGAGACATATGGGTCACAAGAGGTCATGGGGAGCTCCTTTCTTCCTCATGGAGTGAGAGATCCAGGTTCAGTTCTCAGGAAAAGCAGCCATTAAACCCACCCTCTTCCTTTATTACCCTAGATCAGAGCCTGACTTATAGCCACGGGGGTTCAGCCTAGGACTAAGGATTCCATTATTGCTCTCTTACTAAGATGATTCATGCTTAAGGAGAAACATCTGTTTCCAACAGGTAAAACTCAACCCAAGTCTCTCAGGCAGTTGAAGGAAAGGCGTGTAGTACAAAGCCCAAGCAGAACAAATCAAGAGGGTCCTCACAGTGCCAGCTCTCACAGTGGACCCCTTGAGTCTCTCTCCTTGTGATCTTGAGGTTACATTGATCCTGATGTTGGCTTTCAACCCCTGTCCAACTTTTCCTCACAAGAATGGAACATTTTAACATTTACCAGTGTGGTCCTGGTAAGTGTATAAGATTAAAAGTAAGTAGACAAAGATCATGCAGAGAACTTCTAATTCAGACATTCCCTAACATCAATCCTGCAGCCAATAGTCTGGAGTTCATGTCATGTGTTTTTCATACTGTCACTCTGGAAAACCTGGGAGGAATATTACTGCATATAAATATTTTGATCTCCTCCAAGAAAGGGAACAGGTTCTGGGACTACTGTGACTTGCCTGAGGGGACAAGCTGGGGAAAGGAAGATCACATACGAAGGGAACCTGACACAAAGACAATGTGGGGTAGGCATCCTTTATTTTTATGGCAAGAAACCCATAGGAGAGATAAAATAAAAACATATCACAGCTGAGGAGACGGTGAAGGAAGTGACAGCAGGCAAGCAGAGGCACTTCTTTTTCTGGACGGTATCCTCAGAGGGCAAAGACAGCAGGATTCACAGATGACTTCAGGAAAGTGTTAGCAGCCTTCACAAGTGCATGCAGGGTGGAGCCTGAGATGAGGGAGACCAGAATCAGGGCTGAGGATCAGCAACGAGAGGAACAGCTCTTCTCCCAGTTGCCCCTAAACCTTCCCGATCCGATCGTCTTCCCTAGTCCTGTTTTTATCATTCCTCAGTACCCCTGATTATTCTCTTCTTCCTGCCTGGGTTCTCCTTTAATCCCCTCTCACCACAGAAACACTCAGCAGCAGTGAGATAAGATACATCCAAGGAGTAAGTGCTCCAAGCCCAGGCATATCCTCAGCTTAGTTCTGAGATAGAAAAACAAAGGCCACTTGATGTCCTTGTCACAATTCACACTCCCCTTTCATGTCCCTTTCCTTCTTTACTCATCTCCTCTGCCCCAAACTAAAATTTCACCCTCATGCTGCCAAGGAAAGAGCTAGCTGGGAGACCAGAAAAGGTCTGAAGCAGAATGGTGAGGGGAGATGGCTATGGGGACTGTCTTGTGGTCACCCTCTCCAGGCCTGGAGGTGCACTGCCTGGGAAGACTGCTGGCTTCCTAAGAGGGAAGGAGACGGGTCTTAGGATTGTGCTCCTACCTGCATGGATGCGAATCCAGGCGACAGCCTTCCTTTCCAGAAGCTCCCACTCACACTTCAAGTCCTTGCCATGGGTGTGCAGCCAGATCACAGCTAGAACTGTGGCCCAGCCCAAGGAATCCACAAGCTGTACGATAGACAGAGACTTCCCTGAAGCCTCCAAGCTCAGCAGGAAGCCCCTCAAGGGACACAAAAAACCACCCCCTCCTCATTCCCCAACCCCCAAACTGCTACTAAATGGAATTAAATGGCCTCTCTTTACCTCCTCTACTACCTGCAAGGTGTAATGGCAGACCCTGAACATTAGGGTGGAAAGGTTTTAAGTTTTAAATTCAATGTAGCCACCAGGACAGTGCTGGAAACCCCTAAAACACCCCAGACCAGGATTACCCTGCTTTAGTAAGAGAAACACATGCATAATTACCTTATATTTAATAAAGTGTCTTTAATTTTTTTTATCTGAACACTCACCAAGTGCTGGAAACCCCTAAAACACCCCAGACCAGGATTACCCTGCTTTAGTAAGAGAAACACACGCATAATTACCTTATATTTAATAAAGTGTCTTAATTTTTTTTATCTGAACACTCACCAAAAAAAGTCATAAAAAAATATCAATAATCACATTTTTAAGTGAGAAAATAGACTCATGCAAAAGTGAAGTGACTTGCCCAAATTTAGCCTTCTAGCAACAGACGAAGGCAGGACTGAAGGCCAAATATTCTGATTCTACTTATTTTGCTTAATTACTCAATAGCAAATCTCAGCCATAGAGCAGACAATGGTCTCCCATGAGTTCTCTCAGGTTCCGTTTTCAGAGTCAGCAGACCAAGGGAAATTCCTCTTTTACTTCATGACCTTTAAAATTTGGAAACAGCTATCATGCCCTCTCTGAATAGTCTCGTTTCAGATCAAAATTATTATTCCTTCAATTTTTTTTTAAGAGGATGCTTATGTGAAAGCAATGAGAATCCCCATTCTTGTTCTCCTCATCTAAAAACAAATACCACAATGATTTTTAAATACATCCTCTTAAATGGTCACATCTGGAGTTAAACGTACTTATGAAATTCTACGGTGACAGCCCAAGAATACAGCAGCTTTTCAGATAATCCTGTTGCTCTCCACTAATTGTGTTTCAAATATGCTGATTCATATTGTGGTTTTCATCTAGAACCTCTGATTTTCATGTGCTACTGCTCCTAAGTCATTTGTTTTCTTTCTCTACTTAGATAGTAGGGAATTTAGAACCAAAAACAGTACTTGACTTGTTATTGTTTTCATGAAAAATTGCAACTCATTGTTCAGAGATTTTTGGGATCCTGATTCTCTCGTCTAAAACTTTATCTCCCAATTTTATCATCTACAAATAAGAAAACCACCATCAATGTCTTCATCTAAATCTTCATTGAAAATAAGGTCTTCCAGAGATTTCAGAGCCTGGCGGTCTACAAATCTGTTCCCAGTTTGAAATCAATTCATTATTCAGTGTTATGGGTTTTCAACTAGCTTGTACTTGGTCCATGTATTCATCATTAAAAAAATTTCAAATTTCTTACTGAAATTCAAATATACCAGTTCTCTTGATTCCCTTGATTTATCAGCCTAGTTACCATGACAAAGAAGAAATGTTAGTATGACATGTCTTGTTCTCAGTGAATCTAAGCTAGACCTTCATGAGACCTGTGTTCTCTCCCAAGCTCTTATAAATTATCCTTTTCATTATTAGTTCTAAAAAAGTATTCTCCAAGGGCCGGTCTGGTGGCGCATTGGAGAGTGCGCTGCCGGCGCTCCCGCCGAGGGTTCGGATCCCATGTGGAGACCGGTTCCCGCTCACTGGCTGAGCGTGGTGCGGGCGCAACACCGAGGGTTGCGATCCCATTACGGTCAGTAAAAAAGAGACAAAAAGGAAAAAAAAAGTATTCTCCAATAGAAATATAATGCTGGACACATATGTGATTTTAAATTTTCTTGTACCACATTTAAAAAAGTAAAAATAAAGAGGTACAACTGTGTTTTACTGGTATATTTTATCTAACCCAATATATTCAAAATATTATTTTGCATATAATCAACATAAAAATAATTATTGATGAAATATTTGACATTCTTTTGTATACTAAGTATTTGAAGTCAGTATGCATTTCACACCATAGCACACCTCCATTCAATTAAACATTTAGTTTCTCAGTTGCATTAGCCACATCGCAAAGGACCAACAGCCACATGTGACTAGTGGATTCTGTATTGAAGTGTGATTATAGACTAAGAATATCTGAAGTTCATTTCATCACCCTGCACATTCTGAAAATTCAGTATAATATTTGTCCTTCAGGCTTGTGGCACCTGTCTTATATTTAACAATTTTTCAATGAATATTAGAAGACTTGGCAAGTTACTTTGAAATTCTGGAATGTAATTTATCTTCATCAGCATATATGAACACATTTAAAATAACTAGGTGGCTCCTGTTAACACTTTACCTATCCTCACTTCAACTAACTTTTGCTAATGTCTGGAGTATTTATTTTAGTATGAAGAGGAGCAATGGGGGAACTATTACTGGGAATTCTGAAGACACATAGTCCTAGAATTGAACCTGGCTCTGCCTCTGACTGTCTGAGTAAACCCAGACACATTGTCATACCCTCTAAGCCTCTGAGCTTCAGATAAACAGGGACATGAGTAGGATCTAGCTTATGTAATTGATCCAAGAAATGAATCAGATCATGAATGTTAAGTGCTTAGCACAATGCCTGGCACAGAGTAGCTGCCCACTAAGATGACTGGCAGGGAACATAATTAAAGTAGAAAAGAATTTTTTCTTTTCTTTTTTTTTTTTTGTCATTCATCAGTCCTAAACCACCCCCACCTACGAGCTATCCCATTAATTTCTTGTTCTTTCTACTCTACTATAACCAGAACAACCTTCAACCTTCATTTATTAGAAATTAATTTACTTTATGGCCACTACACTCTCCTCCTCAAGTGGGTCTTGTTCCACCCCAATTCTCGTTACTGATCTCACTCCTTCAAAAACATACTTCACTCCTTTTTTTCTTTGACTCTCACCTCAGCAGGGAGTGCAGCCAGCATGTCTTCCAAACTTATTCCTAAGACCTTGGCCAGATCTGCATTCAGATCCCAGGAACCGTTTGCATTTTGGAGAGAAATCAGCTGTACAAGATGATTCTCTCCAAAGACTTTTGGGAGAAAAAAGAGAAAGGATGGAAAATTATGGAACTACTGGTCCCTTAGCATAGCTAAGAGAGGCTGCTGAAGTCAGAGACATGCCGTAGCAAGAGGGTTACAGAGAAAGTCATCAGACAGTATCCAGAAGACCTATCTTCAAACCTAACTTGAGAAAGGATGACCAGTAGAACAGGGACCCAAACAGGGTAGCAGCAGAGTTCTGCAGGGACAGGGCCCAGGCTGCAGTCCAGCTGTGTGAGCTGAGATGGCAAAGGGAGATGGTTTAAGTAGGGTCACCCTGTACTCCTCTGGGGTAGCAGGTTTCAGGGTCCTGTACTGTAGACTGATAAAGCTGGGCTAGAAAATAACACCCTCTGCCTAATACTTTTTAAACAGATCCCCCCCTGGGTAGAGGAAGCCACAAGGTAGCAGAACAGTGAAGGTTAGTTCTTCAGTCCTCATAGATGAAAGAAGCGAACTGAGGCCCACCTCACCTGTATGGTAAGTTTCCAAGTCAGTCCTGTTGGTGAGAGGATGTGTCTTTCCCATCTCAGGGAGGGTTACCTTGAGAGGCATGCAGTTCTTCCTTTGTCTGTGACTACAAGCTTGGGGTATGCCTAGTCCTACATGTGTGACAACAAACACTGGTGAGAAAAGTGCCTGGAAGATGCTCACCTGCAGTGCATGGGCCCTTGCGATTCATTGACCTACAGCGATCATAACCGTTCTGCTGGGATGTCATAGTTGCACAAAACAATATGCTCCTCATGGGCTGAGGTGCAGGGGGAAGGAGGTAGGAAGATAAGGCCCATGGGCAAGCTGAAAAACATCAGTGCAGATACTGAGACTGAAGACTCTCCTGCTCTCCACAGAAGGCCAAGGTAATAAAGTCTCTGGTAATCTGAGACACATGCCCTTTGTCCATAGTGGCTTTAGTCACCACTCGACTGTGTCATTCTTCCCCTGGGAGCCCACCTCCTGCACACCCTCACCTTCTGAGCCCTCTTCCTATTTTCTATCGTGCCCTCTGATTCCCTGACTCATGCTAAACAATCACTTCTGCATCTCTGATTTCATTACAGCAGCCTTTTTCCAATTATGTCTTAACAAAAAACTAATTTATCCTCCCCACTAAACTATTCTCCCTCTATTCCTCTCACGTGGTTGTTGCCCAATGTACCCAGGCACATTACAAGTACTCAGGTTTGGGAGGTGGGATTGGCCACCTCTCCAGGCCCTAATGCCACCTCCAGATTGTCACCCTTCCACCTTCAGTTGGGTTACCCTCCACCCACTCTCACTACTGTCAACCCCCAACCTCTTTGTCACTTCTTGTTGTCCATCTGAAAGCTAGGCCACACACCTGCACTCCATTGCAAGGCCTGCTTCCATGTGGAGAGATTTCAGCATCCGTGAAGGGAACCTACACACGACACCCTAACGCAAAACTTCTTGACTTCCTCAAATCCAATAGTTTCCACTCCGTTCTACTTTCGCCACTCCCTCCCAAGCCAGATGGCCTTGTTATGCAGAATTGTTCCACTTGTGAAAAAGACGCTGAAAAAATCCTACATTTGAAATACAATATCCAACCTTTCCAGCTTCCTAGCTCAAGGTTCCTATTTTACCTGATCTTTGACCCCATCTGGACCATCTTGACTCCTCTGATTTTTTCCTGTATATTAATTTCTTTCTATCTTTACTTTTCTCTCCACTCAACCTAAATCTCAGGTCCAACACTTTACCATCCTCTTATCAATATTTCAATTCCATGTCCCTAATTCCTTCCATCACACCCATCTGGCTAAACCCCGGCCTTGAAATTAACCCAGTGCTCTCCTCCCCTCAATCTTTTCCCACAGTGATAAGACTGCTGAAATGAATCACATAAATCATCATCGATTTGGTGGTTTGTGCCTCTAAAAAGGTGAACGTATCTGATCTAAACTGAACCCTCTACAGTCCCTGACAAGTGTTTCTGTCTGTCCTTGGGCATTCCACCCTCCAGTTGTCCCCAGTGGCTCTTCCAAACCTTCTCCTTTTCCTCATGTCTTCTATTCTACCACCTCCAGTCTCAGCCCATTAGCTAATCTTGCTGTCTATTTTACTAAAATGACAGGAAAACCAATAAACAGAAACTCCAAACACTGCCTCTCGGTCTGTGAACTAAAAGTCTGTTCCCATCACGTTTCTTCCTCTTCCCAGCAATAGTGGAAAAAGCAAGTGTCCTGTTGAGGCCGACCCTTCCCCTGCAGCTCTGGAGCTCACCCCCTTCCACTTCCCCAAACACACTTCCACATCAGCCTTCCTTCTGTTTTTCCAACATTTTAACCCTCTTCGTTGGCACTTTTTCCTCAAATCTCATCCATTCTGAAATTTTAAAGAGACATAACACAAAAAAACTTCCTCAACTCTACAATAGCCTCTGTAGATATCACCATCTGTTCTCTCCCCTTTTCAGCCTAAAATTTATCAAAAGTGTCTGTACACGCTGCCCCTCATCCCCTCCTCTCATTGACCTTTAACATTGATTCTCTCCTGGCCACTCCAGTGAAAGTGCTCCTGATGAGATCAGCATGGACCTCTTTGATATTTACCCAATATCTTTTTAGTTTTTACTTCAACTTCTCAGCAAGGTCTGATGCTTTGATAACTCTCATTGTTGTATCTGTTTCCTCTAGATTTGAATATGCACTCACTTCTT